AGGGGAGGCCGGGTCGCTCCGCCCGCGTCCTTCGGCGCCGCCGGGCCCTGTGCCTCTGGGCCATCGCCTCCGAGGTCTCGCCTGGTCGTCTCGGGGGTTTGCAGCTGGCAGCTGCCTCTCAGAAGCCTCCAGAGCAGTCTCTGTGTATTTTTACATATTTTTTTTTCCCAGAAGCCGGAGGATTGGTAGGATTCAGTAGCGGCGACTGCCTCTGCGTCCGGGTCCTTGCGGAGGCGGCGCTGCGCGCTTTGGTCGACCTGGGAGTTGTGAGTGCGAATGCGGGTCGGTTCGGCTTGGTCTTTGCGCCACGTGTATTTATTGGCTTTCATTTAAAGATTTTTATTAGTACATGTTTATAGTAACATAATGATTGCATTCATCGTGGAGAGTATGAATTTATTTTTGACACATGACATTTAGGGAGAAAGAAGCTACGTGTGGGTGTGTAGAGTGCGTGCATCTTTGTACGTGAATATAATCGTGTGTAGACTGAAAGTCATTTTACTAAACAGGACGCTCAGATCCCCATCGTCGGAGCCTCCTAGGTCTTCGCCTACCCCGTTAGAAAGTCTGCACTGGTGCTATTAAAACATATTATTATCTCTCTTTCTCCCCCCCCCCCCGCCCCAAGAAACTGTGAATACTTTTTTTCATGGAACATTTGAAAGGGGCTAAAATGGGCCCTTGCACTTGCAAGGGTGGCGCCGGGACCCCTGAGCTACATTCCGGGCTCGATAATTGAGTTTTAAATGTTGGTAATGAAAGGGAACAGCAACGCCAAGCACGGAGAAGTCCTACGGGAGATTTTATTCAGGGGAGCGGAGCAGAGAGAGAGCTGAGAGATAAGGGAGTGCTGGCCTATTTATGGGGCTTGGAGCTAAGGGCCTTCACATTAAGGTGGGGTAGGCCGTCCTTAACCTATCTGCAAGCCATGTTGCCTCTTAAAATTCGAGTCTTGCAGAAGCTCTAAGTTTCAATTCTATGTACTGACAGGGCCTTGGGGAAAGGAGACTTAAGGCAAGGGTTTAGAGGTGGAAGAACCTGGAGGTCCAGCCCAAAACGGCAGTGTCACAAAATACTTTAACATGATCAATTCCCTAACAGGTAATGCATCGCTTAAAGTAAGAAAATGAAAAAAGTTGCGATAGCCTTTATAAAAAGGTAAAATTCGGGCCGGGGATTTAGCTCAGAGGTTCTGTGGCCTGCCTCGGAAGCGCAAGGACCCGAGTTCAATCCCTGGTAGCTAAAAAAAATTCTCCACAATGTCAAAGTGTGCTTTGAGTTCTTGGTTCCTGTGTGTTAGAGGTTTATGTGGCCCCTCCCCCTCCCGTGGGGATTGAACCCAGGGCTTTTGCCCTTATCCTCACCCCTCCCCTTTTTTAATCTTTTATTTTCAGAGACAGTCTGAATTTCCCAGGCTGGGCCCAGGCTTAAAATCTTTCTGCTTCAGCCTTCCAGAGGGATGGCATTGCATGCCTGCACCAAGCCTGGCTTTCTTTTTACGTCTTCAATTCTCTTTGAACCTAGAGCAGTGGCTGTTTATCTGTTACTGTATTTTGGAAGAGTGACTTCTTTTACAAAGGCACATGATCTGATTACATTCTCCTGGTATGTTCAGATGTTTGCTCAATTTCTTGTATTTATGCGATCTGATGAGTTCCTAGACAGTTGGTGAAGGCACAGTGACAAAATTCAACCTAGGGCAGTGATGGTGAACCTTTTAGAGCTTTCAATGATTACCAACAGCCTGCTGCATCATGCGTGCCATAGGTTCACCACCACTGACCTAGGGTTATTCTTGTAAGACCTAAAGTCTCACTTCTACTCCATGGAGCGTGAACAGCCGAAAGGCCTCCACGATGCTGAGTCCTATAGCCCAACGAGGGCTCCCGACGCAAGACCCACGGCCTTACTTCCGGAAGCCCTGAACAGCCAACAGGGCCTCCACGATGCTGGAACCTATAGCTCAGCGAGGCTCCGGGAGCTCGATGGAGGAACGAGAGTCACCCAGGAAGGAACACACCAGGCTAGATGGTAAACAGACCTTGATTAGTCTGGCCAGATGGCACTCCCAGAGCCAGGTAGCTCAGAGAGGCAACTGCTCAGGGGCTGAAGTCCTTTTTATAGGGTTTTTCTAAACAAAAAGTCAGGGCACTCACAGAACTACCAGAGGACAAGATTCCAAACACACTGCTTATCTTACGCCGGACATGTTCAATGGTCACCTTTTGTCATACCATTTGTCTCTGGGTGGGCTGTTAACCAAGTTAGCAGTTAGCATATGAAGAAGCACAGTCTCTGGCCTATTAGCATGGAGTCACTTTAGCTCAGGTCTCACATTCTTTTTTTACTTTTTATTTTTTTTGGTTTTTTTGAGACAGGGTCTCACTACGTAGTTGAGACTGACCTGGAACTCACTATGTAGCCCAGGCTGGTCGCGAACTCACAGCGATCCTCCTGCCTCAGCCTCCAGAGTGCCGGGATGACAGGCGTGCGCCACCACGCCCGGCCAGGTCTCACATTCTTAGGAAACTTGTAAACTGGTAGAGGAGGCTAACATGAAGCCAAGGAAATAAATGAATTATTACAGATTGATAAGGGTCTGGAAGTAGAAAAGAGTCCTTATTATTTTTCTATCTCTGAATGGGAGTTGTTTAGGGGAAGAGAATGTTTAAACTGAGACCAGAAAGATAAGTGGTAGAAGTTAGCCATGAGGAAATGGAAGTAGCAGATGGTGTAAGCTTTCTCAGAATTGGCTGATTGCTTTTGTAGGGACAGACAGGGAAGTGCATCAAGGATTACTCCTAGGGTGATGTGTCAGTCGTTTATAGTTTGTGAAAGAAGTTGATCAAAGAATTTCCTCTTCACCAGAAAACTGACAAGACAACTAAGTGATGTTTATTGAAATGATGTAACTCAAGAGAAGATAGGGTAAAGGATGAATATATTTCAATTTCCACAGGTAGAAAATTAATTTGAGGAATTAAAATCCTCGGTAGAACATTGAGGAATGATTTTGTTGTGATAGACCGGAGCAGCACAGTAGTACAGCCAAGTGTTACAGCCCAGTGTTGCAGCCAGGTGCCATAGCTTGGAAGGCACAGCTGAGCCATACAGTTCTGAGGCAAAGCTGAGCTTTACACTCAGTGTGGCAGCTCTGGAACACAGCTCTCATAATTTGAAGACTTGAGAATCGGATGGTTGGTTGAAGAGGTGGAGGAAAAAAAAAAACCAAAAAAAAACCTTTGTTACACCAGCAAGCTGGCAATGGGCTCGGAGGAGTCTGAGTGCTGTACCATAAATGAGGGCCTCCTTATATAGGGATCTACAGGGTGGGAGAGCATGCCCGATATAGCAGGGGCTCTGGGGTTACAGAACATTCCTGAAGCAGAGGGGCGGAGTTACAGAACATTCCTGAGGGGGTGGAGCTTAACCTTCTTGTGAGAGCAAAGAGCATAACAGAACATTCCTGAAAGGTCACACAGTTCAAACAGTCACAGAACATTTTGATACATTGGGCAGGCGCCCACCAGCACAAAACTGTTTCCAAAACAAAACATTCTGTGGAAAGAAAAAAAAATGGAGACAAGGCAAGGGCCTGTCTTATTGTATAGCTTTTCTCTACAATTTCACCACAACCACTAGTAATGTCTGTGTCTCCGAAGGGTATAAGGAGTGTTCTGGCAAGAGCCTGTTTTGTGTCTTTCAGATGTTTGATTTTGCTTGATATTGGAGATATTTGTCGGGAGAGAGTTCTAGAGGTTTGGTTTTGTTTTTACTTTGAAGGAAACAATTTGTGGTAATAGCCCTAGAGTTTATGATAAAGGTAGAGACAGGATCAGGATATCCTTAACGAAGGTGACTGCCTGATGTTTGACAAAGTGAGTTGTTCTTTGTGTCCGGTCCGTTAGTAGGGACATCCTAGCTAATGGAAAGCAGCAGTATTTCATTATGCACGATGTGCAGAGGAGCCCTTTGCATGGCCTAACACTGCCATTGTTCACTCAGTTAATACTAATTTAAGCAGTCAAGAAATCTTAAGATAGGGGCTGTCTTCTGTAGCACTCTGGCATTTGGCAAGAGACAGCACAGAAGAAGCCACCCCTACCTGCACGTGGAATATACCCAAGTTGGACTTCACTGTGTCTTCAGGAGGCCTTAGCAGCCTGCAAAGCTTGCTTGCTTAACATAATGAACAGCTGGGTAGGGAGGAAGGTCACAGCCTGAGTGTCCATGTGAGCTTCTGTTCCCAGGAAAGCATGGTGGGGAGATAGTCATTTATTGACTAGCAAGGTGTCAGTAGGTGCACTTTTTGTATTAGAAGCCTTAAAGGAGTAAATAGCTACCTCACATGGATCAGAGACTCCAAGACACATTAAAAAAACGTTGCCAGCGCTCCTGTTTATGAAGAGGGTTTTTTGTTTCTGTCTTTGTTTTTATTTAATTAATTAATTTTTTGAGTCAGGCTCTTACAGGGTATTTCAGGCTGGCTTTGAACTCACTGTGTAGCCTAGACTAGCCTGAAACTCTTGCCTTAGCCTCCTGAGTGCTGAGATCACAAGCATGCGCCACCCTCCCTGGCTTGTGTCTGCTGATTTTTTTTTTTAGTATCGGGGATTGAACTCGGGTCCTTGCGCTTCGTGTCTGCTGATTTTAATTTGCAAGTAAAGATTTGTGAATGGGGAATATGTTGTGACCAGAACCCAGAGTTACATGTCAACTGAGTTTCTTTGGAGAAGGATGTTGCATTGTCAGAACTGTGTTCCTGGGGAAGTTGATATTGTTAACGATGTGTTTCCAAAGATTGCGTATGATGAGAAATCTGTTGAGTGGCCTAGAAAAGGTGTATCGTGTCCATTCAGCAGCAGAAGCAAAATGCAGGTGAAAGGCACTGAGTAGAACAAGTGAGCCAGTTTGGGTGTGAATTGAATCAGTGACCGTTTTAGTGCTACTATGTATGAGGCCTTCATGAATTGGACCACCACATTTAGGGTAAGTAATCCACAGGGCGCCTTTTATTTTACTGAATTTTTGATTCAACAGAGGGCAAAGTTAGGGTAACAGACGGAGAATCAACAGAGGCAATCACTGTTGAATTAGGTTTTATGTGAGTTTTAATCTTTGCAGCCCTGTTTGAAGTTATTCTGGGACAGATGAACCGATAAACTGTTTCAACTGGGAACCCATTGGTCCCATTTTATCAAGTAAATTTCTAAATGTTAAGGTCTTTCTTTAATTTTATCTCTTGAAAAATTAATTAATTAATTAATTAATTAATTTTTTTGGTACCGGGAATCAAACCCAAGGCCTTTTGCTTATTTATAATTTTTTATGTTGGAGTGTGGAATGTTTTAGGAGAAAGGATACTATGATTACTATGTACGCAAAGCTATGATTAAAGTGAAGCATACCTATTTCCTATATTTTGTTTCCCTTTTGAGATTTTGGGGGACCCAGTGTTTGTGTTTAGTGAATTCCTATGATAGTAGTATAATCTGAGCCTGAAATTAAGCCCATGCTGACTTTGTTTATTGGTTCAAAATGAAATAATCTAATTCTCGTTTCCCACTGTGTCTCACTTAGGCCTGTAGAACAAATGGGTACAAAGGAGACAACAACATAGACCCAAGCTGCACCATTGCTGTGAGATCACCATCTTCTCCCTTGTTGGGTTCGGAAGTCGGAAACCTCCCTGGAAACTGTCCTTAAGTTGTTGGGCAGTTAGAATGCCGGTCTCCCTCTTGCACTCTGCTGACCCTCTTGTTGGCCCAGTATCTACCTTTTGCCTTCTCTCTGGCTGACAGGTCAGTTGCCCTGAGCAGTTCTGTTTTTTGTTTTTGCTTTTGGTTTTTTGAGTCAGGGTCTCACTGTATACTTGAGACTGACCTGGAACTCACTATGTAGCCCAGGCTGGTCTTGAACTCACAGCGATCCTCCTGCCTCAGCCTCCCGAGTGCTGGGATGACAGGCGTGTGCCACCACGCCCGGCCCGTTGTGATGTTCATCTAACATAAAACATTTTTTGTGCCACATAGATATTGAAAATGAAATTGGAGCACAGTCCACTCTTTGGCTCTCACCATCCATATATACTCTTGTGCACACGTTTGAATTTCTTCATAATAATTATTTATTTATTTATTTATTTTGGTACCGGGGATCGAACTCAGGACCTTGCACTTGCGAGGCAGGCAGCAGAACCACTGAGCTAAATCCCTGGCCCTTCTTCATCATCATTAAATCTATGTTGCAATTGAAGAAGATAAAAAGGATCTCTGCTGTCCCCCAGTGTGAGCAGATGCGTATTCCCAGTACTGGTAGTGATTGTATTGCCATCTCAGGCCGTAGTGATTACTCTTCAGGTTAGTCATGCTCTTTCTGAGTCTTGTTACCTAACAACCAAATTACATATTATTTAACCTCTAATGACATACAGTATAGAAAAGTAAGATAGGAAATACATATGTGTAAATGTGTACAAAAAATTGTACAAAAATGTACAAAACTTTTCTTTTTACATGGAGTCACTGTGTAGTCCAGGGTGGTCTTGAACTCACTATTTAGCGCAGCCTGGACTTGAATTCACAGCATTCCTCTTTCCTTGGCCTCCGAAGAGCTGAGATTTCGGGCATGCACCACCACATCTGGCCTATAAAAATGTACAAAACTTCTGCATTTCTTATTACAATACTGTGATTGTTCTTGAGGTTATAATTGATATCTATGGCTTATTTTCTCAATTCTTTCTCTTTTTCCTTTGATGCCTGTTCTCTGTTGCTGCTATTCTGTGTTCATGTAACTGGTAAAGTGACTCAAAACTTCACTCTCCAAAGGTCTATTCTTTTATTATCCTGCCTTTTAAAATTTTCAATTAATCTTTTCTGTGCGGCGTAGAGGTACTACTTGGACGTTACAGACTTCTCCCTTCTTGCGTCATTTGTATAGTAGTACCACATTTTCTCTTCAGTCATTGAATTAATTACTCCAGTCGGTGGGACTTCCCCCAACTTCCGTTGTGTTAGGGACCCAAAATTGCCAGGAGGCTATCTCGTCTCCCATGTAATGGAACAGTAACTGCCATCTAGGGGAACAGCCCTCTTCAGAGACCAAGATCTCCAAACTTGCCGTAATCTGAATCAGTGCCGTTGGAAGCAGAGTTTTCTTCAGTGGACCAGTTTCATTTTCATCCATCCTTGAACCTGGTTTTCTGGCTGAAGGGAGCCAGTACCATCTAAGGCTCTCTGATCCAGCGCGTGTACCTAGTCCTGTTGGTGGAATCCTTTCCTTTCAGAGTATCGTTTCCCATCCGGCCCTGTAACCGAGCGTTGGGAGAGCCATTCCCTCAGCTGCTTCTAGCGTGTGTGATAAGGCTGCAGAGATGTGCTTGTTGTTGCCCCCCTGTAAGAGGAGGTGTACTCCTTGCATTGTGTGAGATGTTATATCCACACCACTCCATGTTGGAAGAGAAGTGTGGTGTAATTTACTGTCATGAAAATTACTGCCCTTCTCTGGGAGGACCTTCCTCCTGTCAGGCTCTTGATCTCGATGAGAGGACCACTCAGCGTTTTTTTTTTTTTAAAACTACTCTTTACAGCCTTCTACCAGAAGTGGACATAATGCATCTCTAGTGTCCGTCTATCCATCCGTCCTTCTTTCTTTCCTTCCTTCCTTTTTTTTTTTTTTTGAGACAGGTTCTCATTATGTAGTTCAGGCTGGCGTTAAACTCATTGTATAGCCCAGGCTGGCCTCGAATTCACAGAGATCTCCCTGCCTCAGCTTCCCAAGTGCTGGCATTACAAGTGTGTGCCACCAAATCCAGCTCTTCTGTTTTTCTAAAGAGATGGTATCTCCTGTCATCCAAGCTTCCCTTGAATTCCTGGACTCAAGCGGGTCCTTCTTCCTCAGCCTCTCAAGTAATTGGAATGGGAAGCACGTGATCACACGTGGCCACTCTTTTTTCCCTGATAAACACAAGACAAAACTCTCACAGCTACATTATGCCGAGTAATGGCACTGTTGGGGTCTGTTGTGGCCCAGACTCATAGATGCAACACTTTCTATGTCTTTTCTTTCCCACTATTACACTTGTTTTCTGTAATGAGACTGTATCCTGGTATGCAGTGGAAACACTGAGATGCCAACAGTTCTATATCCACGGCTGTATTTTGTCAAACAAAATCCAAACATACCTGCCAACCAATACCTGTCAGTCGTCCGCTAAATATCCAATGACTCCCAGCAGGCCATCGAGTCTCCATGTGAAATTAAGTGGATAAGTGGCCCTTGGCAAAATATTAACCCAGGAAGCATGAGTCACTCAGAGTACCTCTGCTCTTGTACCTAGACAGGTATAGGACAAACTGTAAGGAATAAGCCGAGAGATCTTTTATGATATACTGAACATTTCTCCTCCATCCTCCAAAAGGTTCTCTTAAGTTCAGAGTTGCTGGGCCTGTTTCCTGGCTAGCGTTGACAAAGGGGTCACCTGATTGTGGAGTGGGTCCCAAACCCTTGTCATATACTTATGTTCCTCTTGCTATTTGTCATCCTGCTCAAACTTTACATCTGGTGGCCACATCAGTCTGCCTCACCTAATTTATACAACTATACAAGCAGTGTGACAAATGCTATCTATCTCACTATATTTTTAAGATATTGAAGCATCACAAACTGGAATGTATTATAATTTTAAAATTAATTTCATTTTATTTATTTGTTTTTTGAGTATGAGGTATTGAACCCAGGGCCTTTGCACTGCGCTTTTTTAATTTTTTGAGACAGAGTCTCACTGAGTCCCTAAGGTGTCCAGGCTGGGCTTCAACTTTTTTATTTTTGAGACAGGGTCTTGCGAAGTTGCCAAGTTGCCTGGGTGGGCTAGAACTTGGAATACTTCTGCCTTAGCCTCCCAGGGTGCTGGGTTGACAGGCATGTGCTACCATACCTGGCCCTGGGCTGGATGTTTCAATCCCCCTGCCTTGGCCTCCCGAAATGCTGGATTACAGGCATGCACCATCACAACCAGCTAGTATATTATAAAATTTTAAAAATTCGTATTTCCCCTGTGCTGCGGCTTTACCACAAACAGGTTGTGAGCACCCTTCTCAGGTAACTGGATGCATGAGTGTGATGAGGCTGGTCCTTGGTTTCCCTTCTTGCCATCCCTGACTATCTTAGCACACCAATGAAAACCTTTTAGGCCTTTGCTGCTTGTGTACAAGTTCCATGCACATTCCCTAACAAAGGCCCTGTCAGACAGGTGCGTACTCTGTCCCTTGTTTTTGTTGGTGTGCTTGTTTTTTGTGGTGCTGAGAATTCAACCCGGGACCTTGTGCACATCCATTGAGCTACATCCTGTGTCCTTGCTTTGTCTGTTGGAACCCTCTGCCTTGTAGGTAGATAAGAATTGGTTAAGCTCCAGTTTGAGTTTTCATTGTTCCCCTGCCAGTGTAGGGGGAAGACTTACATTTTTTATTTTATTTGACAAATATATACAAATACATATTTGCACTGTACATGATGTTTTATAGTGTGGAGTGGCTAAATCAGGCCATTTCATGTATTTTTTATACATAGAACATTTAAAATGTACTCTCAACTGTTTTGGAATACAACATATTGCGATTAATTGTAGTCACCATGATGTACAGTAGGTCTTCGGAACTTATCCTCTTAAGTAAACTTTTGCATCCTTTATTAACCAGCCTCCCCCACCCCCTTCACCCCTAGTCTCTAGTAACCAACATTTTGCTCTCTGTTTCTATGACTTCTACTTTTCTACTTTTTTTACACTGTTTATCATGAGTGCAGGTGGTGTTTGTCTTTTTGTGCTTGGCGAATTTGACCTAACATAATGCCCTCTCCATTTTTTTCTTCTTGTCACTGAAGATAGGGTTTCTCTTTTTGAAGTTGATCTGTATTTCACTATGTATATATGTGCTACATTTTCTTTATTCGTCCCTGAGTGGGTACTTGGGTTGTTGAAATGTCTGTTGTGAATAGTGCTGCGATAAATGTGACAGTGTAGGTGGCTCTTTCTGGTGGCATGTCCTTTGGAAATTTACCCAGTAGAGGGACTGCTGCTGTGTCATATGATGGTTCTGTTTTTTACTTTTTTGAGTAATCACTATATAGTTCTATTGCTTTGTATTTTTGCAGTGCTGGGGGTCAAACCTAGGGCCTTGCGCATGTTAGGTGAGCACTCTTAACACTGAGCTACATCTTCATCCTAGATTGGAGAATTTAATCTAATGTGCTCAGTGTAATCATTGATAGGTAAGGATCTACTATTGCCATTTTATTGTTTCCTGATTTTTTCCCCAGTACTGGAGATCAAACCCAAGGGTGCTCTACTAGTGAGGTATATCCCTAGCCCTTTTATTTTTTTCCCCAGTCCCCCACCACCTTTGGTACCGGGTGTCAAACTCAGGTCCTTGCACTTTCGAGGCAGGTGGCCGAACCACTGAGCTAAATCCGCGGCCCTCCCCAGCCCTTTTAATATGTAGTACATCTTTAAATTTTGGGGCAGAGTCTCACTGAGATTCCCAGACTTGTTATCCCCTACCTCAGCCTCCTTAAGTGCTAGAATTACAGGTATGTGCCACCGCACGCACCCAGTTTCTTGATTTTGTAAAATACATTTTGTCTTATCCCTTTCTTCCTTTTTGAGTAGGTGCTTTTCTGTTGTGATATGCTGTGATATGTTGCTTTTTTTTTGGACATCTGCAAGTTTTTGTTTGATGGTTACTGTGCACCTTATATAAAACATATAAATGGGGCACAGTAGCACATACCTGTAAGTCCAGCTGCTTAGGAGGTTGAGACTGTAGCATTGCAAGTTTAAGGTTGTTTCAGTATAAAAATTAGAATTTGAATATGGTAGCACATGCACATAATCCCAGCACTCTGACTGGCGAAATAGAAGGATCACAAGTGAGCCCATCTTGGGCAATTTAGTGACTTACTGAGACTGTTTCAAAATAAAAACATGAAAATAGCTGGTTATTTAGCTCATTGCCAGAGTGCAGCTGGGTTCTACTGTAGTACTGAAAACAAAAATTACAGGACTTTGAGGTAAGACCTTATCTTTACTTGCATAAAATAACTAATTTTTCTCACCCTTCCTATTTTATGTCTTTATGAGCCAAGGTCATTTTTTTATGTCTTTGATTTCACAATTTATATCCTTTTATAAGTATATATTCCCTAACAAATTATTACTATTAGTGTTTTTCATAATGTTTAAAATCTTCATAGAGTGTGATTAAAACATACTGTTAGAGTATTTGAGTATTCTGAATTTAACTGTGTGCTTCTATCCGTGAGTTTTATGCTTTCACGTATTTTTTGTGCACTACTCAGTGTCTTTCAGATTGAGGAACTAACTCCCTTTAGTGTTTGGACAGGTGTAATGATAAATGCTCTGTGCTTTGTTTTCCTAGGAAAGTCCTTATGTCTTTCATTTCTGAAGGACAGATTTGTTGGATTTAGTTCAGTTTTCTTAGCTTTTTTTTTTTTCCTTCAGCCCTTTGTATGCATTCTCTCACTTTATCCTGGACTGTAAATTCTCTGATGATAAATCTGCTGATAGCCTTTTTTGGGATGCCTTTGTAAGTAATTTATTTTGTTGTCGTTACTTTTCTGGTCCTGCCGTCAAGATCCTCTCTCTGCTTTTCATTTTTGACTGATGATGAAATGCCTTCATATAGGTTTTTTTTTTTTTTTTTTT